AGAATCAATGGATTTGGTTAAGTATTGGTGGAGTTATGGTTCATTTAAGTTCTAAGCTCATTCTTGCTCATCCATGGAGGAAGGCCGCGGGTGGAGAGGAAGGGAGGAGAGAGAAGGTGTTGAAATTTTGTGTCATGCCATGTGGATTAAGTCCACTTAAGTGAGGTGGGCCCACCGCCTCCTCACGCGATTTCAAACTAATTTGAATTTCTCTCCGATTCTACTAAACGTCTATAAATTCAAAACCTATTTAGAAACTCTAATTTTTAACATTAACCATTGTCCTTCAATTATACTTGATCAGATGAATCCAGAGTTCTCCGATCGTTCGGAGAAAATGTTGTTTTAAGTTGTTGCGCGCGCTGTTGCCACACTTCCCCAAACTTACTCAATTCCATCAAATTTTATCAGAAATCATATTTCCTAGTTCTATAGACCATTTATAACTCATATTTAAAAACTATAGCTCAAAACTCAATCGGCACGCTTTACGGTGTAACTGTACTGCAGTATTTTTACCTGGTAAAAACATTATTCACTGAATTTTCTAAAACTTGCCTAACCACTCAATTTTTCGTTCTGAACCCATTTCCAGGGTTAATTTTTATCATCTGAGACCTTCTACTCAATTTTTATCTTCCTATGGTTGCGTGTTGGCTAATTACCGTTTTGCCTTTTCTTTGTATTTTTGCCTAATTTTTAGGATTTTCACTAATCCTTCCATTTAATCCTCATTTAATATTTTAATACTTAAACTTAGTAATGCGAGGTGTTATATTCACCCCACCTTTTAGAATTTTGTCCGCAAAATTAACTCATACTTGTCTGCTAACTCGGGATACAGCCGGAGAATCTCATCCTCCCGTTCCCAAGTAGCCTCCTCAGGTGTGTATCTTTACCATTTTACTTTTATCACAGGCATAACCTCATTTTTGTTGTACTCATCATTCCTCGACCCTTCACAAATACTTGTTTATTATGGTGCTATGACCTTTTAATTCACAATACTTTAAACTTTCCATGGTTCACGGTTGCACTCTCACTAATTTATAGGTAATAATTTAGTTATGTTACAAATTCGTCTACCTAACCTCACTTCCTTTTTATCTTTATCTTTTTATCTGACCCAAGATCTTGCACAACAACATCAGACGATCCCCAAGTATATTTATCTGTCATTTCCTGAATATTTTAACTCACACTTACTTTAGTACTTCAGTCCTTTCACTGCCACTACTGTTTCAGCAATACCCCAATATACCAGTCCTTTTCATTAATGTTACTGATCTTACCATTGAGTTGCTTCCTTAGCTGTCACACAAGCACATACTTCCTAGTTCCCATGGCACTTTGTCGTATCCTATCATTCTGACTCACATTAAATTCCATACTTATATACTTTACTTTACTTTGTCACGTGTCTTCACCTCTTCTTCGATAATCACAACTATATTTTTCTCTTTATGATACGGAACTAACAATCCTCATAATAGTTTATATTTCCGATTAGCCCTTTAAGGTCCTTCAACCACAAACCCACTCATGAAATTTTCCACCTATAACGTCATATAAAAAATTTTCACCCACTGTTCGTTTATCTATCAAATCAGTCATCTCCAAGTCTAACACAAAATCCACCAATGACTTCCGCATCAAAGGTCTTATGCCTAAGATGTTCACTAACTAACCATTTTTACTCATCATTCTGTAACAATATTATAGATTCAACATATTTTTCATTCATTTATACCTCCATTTCCTCATTATCGACATTTTTATCATGGATGTTCCACTTAAAATACTATATCATAATCCTTACATATAAGTCTCCTCATATTGGTAATATCCAACATAATCGTTCTATCACCTGGAACTACTTTCATCCTTAAACAATTTTCTGAAATTTTATCAATACCGTGTATCTCCAAAGGATGTATCTCTCTCACTTAGCATATATCGCATACCGTGCTCCATGTCACTCCATCGAGTTATCAACCTTTATTTAATCATCATAATTTAAGTTACTGATCCTTATTAAACATTTTCACCTAATTCCATCACAACTAACTTCTCATGAAAGGCCATCAGGCCACCATCTTAACTGCACATTTATTCCTCATTAGTCCCTTCTAATACAACATTCACTCAATCCATCAATATTAATAGTTGTTATTCTTTACCATAGGGCAATAATCCCCAATAAACTTCACACTTTCCTTGGAACCCAAAATTCATGTCACCACACTCGGGTACACATACACACATCCGCTAGTGCTCGGAACTCATACCTCAAAATACCTTCTCATGACGTTTCATATATTACATTCAATTCGATATATTACTGTTCACTTAAAGTTACCCGATATCCCATCTTGCGTTCTTTACATGACACAATCCTCCCAATACAGTGGGTAAACACATCCTTAGGTTAAACCCCTTGAGCTTTTGCTGTCCTAAGGGGCCCAGATGTAAATGACCCACCGATCAGAGAATCTATCCTTATGATTCATGCAGTAATGGTAACTTACCACCAGCTGTCCCTGTTCTAGGAGCATCCCCAACGTTTCTTATTTGTGCATTTATATAAAAAAATCTCAACTATACTAGCGGTCACATCAATGCGGGATACTTCCTCGTCTCATATTACTCATACAAGATAATAATAGTCTCCGGGAACATAATCCGCACGGAGATGGCCATACACTCCGGGCACATAAGGCGCACAGAGATATCCATGCTATCAAGTCGTATTACATGCACCCAGTGCACAGAGGAACTTATATTTCTATCACTTATCTGTATATAACAGCAAATGTGTACCCAGTACACTCCAGATCACACATGGACCCAGTCCATTTGGCGTATGTATCACATTCGTAGATAAAGGCAAATATATTTGGTATATTCACATGGGGCTTCCCCCGATATCATAGTAGTAGTAGTAGTATTATACTCATATCACATATACATATAGTCCCTTAGTTCTTTCTTGATTACTCTTCCCACAGGTCGTTTACTCTTTTATTTTGACTAGTCACATGACATGGTTCATATCATAATCTCTATTCCATGAATTCAGAATTTTTCTCAAGGTTCCGTACACCTCTCACATCTCTTAGTATAATGTATCATATTTCCACATATAATTCTCATCACACAGGGGTTTTCTAAACCCAACTGTCCTTGCACTAATAATTGTTCATCAGCCCTTACACTGATAATTATACATCAGTTCTTGCACTGAATTTACACGTCAGTCCTTGCACTGACAATTACCTCAGCTAATTAGCTAATCTTATCATTTTTACATATTAGTTCTTTCGCTAACTACATAGTTCCACACTCTATGCACCTTAGTTCATATCCTAATCGTATGATTTCATATTAAGTTGTACATGAGCTCATTCACTAATCATACTCTCTCACTTGGTGATTGTACCACAATAACTCATAAAATCTTGTCACCGTTCTAATCCATTGTCTGCTACGGCTCACATAAACCCATACTCAATATTGTAGAGCAACCCATCAATTTTCCTGCTCACTTTCACCCTTGGTGGTTGTAGAATATTCATTACATTGAAAATACCTCCACTCTGTCTATCAATCCACATCAAATACTAAATGATTTCACAAGCACACTACTATTAGTAGTATATATATACAGATCACTAGATCATAATTTCTTTACAATTCTCATTACTATCTTACATATGATTATGCAATTCAACCATCCTATCCATTTTATCATTGACAAGTCTTTCAATTTGAATTGACATTCAATAACTACAATAGTGCCTTCATGGTACATTTATCTTATGGCATCCGTGGTGATTCTCTCAACTTCTTCCCTATACCATAATACCTAATTAATTCATCTCACCTATGTTTAATCAACACTACCTCCTTATGGATTTAAATCTCATAATTCAATATCTCTCAAATTAACACTTCATTAGCATAATAATTTCAAGTGGTCCAATCCCTTAGGATTAGACATCATATCTTCCATTTGTTTCTCTACATTAACCATCTCAATTCATTCAAGTGTACATCATCTATCAGGAACTTATAACTTCTAATCAAACATAACATATTCTAACTCATACCTAAGCATACCTGTTCATATCTTCTAATGATTCGTCAGGTTCTAAGTCGCTCACCAAGTCCACCTGTACATAATTGTTTTACCATAGTACATTTACACATAAAAATCTCACCAACACTATCTTCATACTACCAACCCTTCTCAATTATATAATTATTATCCACAATACTACAAATTTATCCTATGCTAATATTGTACACACCATAGGTTTGTCTAAAATTTTTACTTATGATACAACTCTATAAATTTCAACAAAAGGTCAGACAAAACATTTAAGTCTGTTTTCCTTAAGTCCTCTAATATTTATATTTTTACTTACCGCCATCTCTTGTCCATGGAGCAGTCAACACTGCAACCACAACATCAGGCTAAGGACTTACATTCGGTGCTCCAAGCTTGCCATGCAGGCTTCTTACGATGACCACACATGTAACACAAAGGAATGGGTTGATCAGACCCACACTAAGGAATCACATATGCAGTAATCGATAAGAATCTATATACAACTTTGCAGCACATAACACAGCTATACATTATCAAAGTTCCCTAACAAAACTGCTCTAATACCATAAAATGTAACAACCCGTTGTACACCGGTATTGTTAACATTCATTATGATATTAAGCGCAGTTACAATCACAGAAATTCATTTATAAAAATGTGAGTAAACTTTTTTCATTTATTACGCAAGCATTTAAAACCGTAAAAAGCGTAATAAATAAAAGTTGTGACCATAACTGTAAACTCTTGTGGAATACTTGTTTAAACTATTTTTATATCTTATTTTACTCAATACAAGACACTAAGGGAGCGTTTGGTACGTAGATTATTTTTGCTTACCCGGGAAACCAACGTCTGGAACTTGGGATAGCCATCTTTGGTACCACAAAAATAGGAATTTTCCCGGCGAAGAATTTGTCCCGTCTTTTGGTTTCTATGTGTGATTTCATCCACGACAACCAAAACAAGTTGTCCATTTCAAAGACGTCTTTCATCGTTGCCCGGGGAAGTGAAATCTGAAGCTCGAACAACATTACGAAAAGGCCCTTGAGGGATTGTACGATTTGTGAAGTGATGGAAACAGTGGATTGGACTGCTTGTTGAGTGATATACGTGTGAAAAATGGCGCGAATGAGTTGTGGGTCTGTCATTTCTCCCTCCATTTTTTGAGGTCGCAACTGATGAGAAGAACCTTGTAGCTTGCATGTGACTTTCGAAATCGGTATTAATCTTGCCTTCTCTATCATTTGCATGTGTATTTTGCATATTGTGGAAGGTGGGTTTCGTTGCACTGAATTTTTGTAAGAAAATGTAATGAGGTTTGTGTTGTACAGTGCTAGCTTGCTGAGCATGTATGTTGTAGCTTCTCGGTTTATTGCGCCCTGATCCCTTGTTTCCATTTCTTGGTAGGAGTGGGGGAAGGTGTTGAAGGAAGAAGTTTTTTTGCTTTCTCCACAATCGACTGGCAAGTGAGATAAATAAAGACAGAGGTAAAAAAATGTCACTTCTTAGAATGTTTTTATGATCTGATAATGAGTTAATTTCTGCATATTCCAGTTGTGGTTGGAAAAAAAATTGCTCTTATACTATGGTTTTGTGTTGTTTGATGAAGCTTACATGCTTTGGTCATATGTGAATAATTTATACTTGAAGTTTGGGCACTCATGTCGGCAAAGAAGTTGAAATCATTGGTCATCTTCATCGTGATATATTTGTTATTCTTCTCCTCAACAACATAAATTTAAAGTCAGGAGAGTGATAAAATCATGCTGAAATTTATAGAGCGAAAAAAGGCCAAGAATACTTGACCCTGTATTCATCACCTCATTTTATTTGATGCGTCTAATCTGCCCATGGATTCAATGAGGTGCAGTCCATTTTTTGCTTAGTTAGATTTAACATACGAATTTGAATCAGAGTTATTTTAAAACATCTTTTTTTTCCATATGACCATAAGTTGCACATGCTTGAACAACCTCGACCAGCATGTGAGTTCTGTTCCATGCATTCAGCCCTATGGATTTTTTTAACATTACATCTAATTTTGGATATACATACTAACTAGGATCCACGATGTTGAACAGAAAAGTAAAAAAAAAAAAAGGCTCATTGCTGGTTATGAGTTATGTCCTTTACGTGAAAACAGATGATGTCAATATTTGTTATGAAAAATGCATTTCTGTATGGGCACCTGTATCACATGTTGCTTATTATTAATTTTGCTTCTCACCAGAATCACAATTGTTGTTTTGCTTATTATATTTGCATACTAATTGCTGTTTTGCTGCTCCTCACATGTAGATGTCAATACTCGTGGGATGGGCATTGTTTGCGATCCATCTCCATCAAGCTTTGTTGGTTACTAGGATGTAAGATGGAAACAAACAAAGCACATGTCTTCTTCAAGGAGTGATCAACCTTCCAACTATCCAAACCATTGCATAGTACTGTATAATATGTGAATCTGTATATCAATCTGTCATGTAAAAAATGGGACATGTGTAATATATTTGGTCCAAGATATGCGTACTTGTACTTAGGATTTTAAGTTTGTCAATTCTGTATGTACCAAGGCTATAGATGCCAATGGGTTATCTATAAGTTGGTGTATCTGAACCTGTACTGTAACATATATATGGTACATGAATGATATTTAAATAGACTTCCAGTTCATTATGACCTTCTTCATAACCATTTTCATGACATATCAATTTTTAACATTATGATTTGGAACAAGCAATGGTGACCCCAAAGGAGATATCAACTGACACGGGCCTTAAGGAATTACAACTGACATGATTTAATACCTTTTATTCCATTCAACATTCAAAGGAAATGAACAATTACAACGTGAAATCCAATAAAAAAAGCTATAGGGTAGTAGATCCTCCCTAAAGGTACATGTACAATTGCACTCAGTAAAAAAGACAATACACCAGAAAAGCAACTACATGGTGCCTACAAGGCAAGCCTTATTTTACTTAAACGACACAACCCTAACCTATCAAACTACTCTTCTTCATCTTCATGTATCCAGCACCACAGAGCATCGAATGACATAAGATAGCCAACATCAGATGACAATAGCTGTATGTTGTTGGAAGAGCATCGAATGGCTTCTGCAATAATGATAAAAAGCACAACCATCTAGTAATAATTTTGCTGATCAATTACAAATATCAATAATTATAGCATTGCAAATGAAATAGAGCAATTTACTGTATGTATGTGTGTTTGCAACTATTATTAATGCTTAAAGGAAAGAGAGAACCAACTACATGACATCTCCAGTCTCTGCACCCTCCAAGATAGATGACTTACTCAATTAGATGGTCAAGCATTTCAAAAGCTTAAGCAAATAGGCTAAACTGACTTCTGAAGAATACACCTGCTCATATGCACTAGGATGTGGACCATGGAACAAAGTGAAACAGGAAATACATGACAACATAAAAATAATGTTGAAATCTTTTTCAGTTATAAAATTATGAATATGCTTTGGTAGGAAAGCATTATATTTTAAAAAAATTTGATTTGATGATGAATCATTGATATTTTGGATGTAGGAAATAAAAAGGAGCATTGTATGTATGTAAACAAATTAGAGAAAAATCATATGCCTTTCCTCTCTATGTTTCGGCCTTTGATAGGGTTAATAGGATTTATTGTGCAAATTTTAATTGATGTATTAAGAGGGGTTTTATGTGTGCAAGTAAGTGGAATTTGGATGAGTTAGTAAGAATGTTAAATTTGAAAGAAAATCCTTTGAAACATACCCTTGATGTTTCAGCCTTGAAGGATTTAAAGGGCTTGAGATTCCCAAAAATTAAATTGGAACTTAGTATATACATATATATATATATATATATATATATATATATATATATATATATATATGTACGTGTAGTTGTTAAATTAAGTGAGGAAAATGTATTGTAAAAGAGAAGGATCCTTGGAAATTCCCTTAAAGGATTCGACCTATAGGGTGTTTAGGGAAAGATGTTGTCATATTTTATTTTAATAAAATATGTGTATTTCAAAGTATAAAATTGATAAGTCATGAAGTGAAATGGTTTGAAAAGAAATCATGGAAAAATCTATTGATTTCCTAATTGTAGGCCCACAGTCCTTTTAAAGAAAATGGCATGAATTATGTTGAAAATTCTCAAGTGAACACTTGATTAAATTAAAGAATCCTAACGAGTTTAAGGTGGTCTAGACTTGTGTATTGGCATAGCATTGGCAAAAACGTAAAGAAACGAAAAGAAGCGATAAAATGTATGCCTTATGTGAAAGCTAGGCATGATGGCATTTTATTAATTTGTATTTGTGGATTCTTCCTCTAGGTGTACCTAGGGACTAAAAAGGAATCGGAGTCTCTTGAAGATATATAAGTAACTTGAGCCACAAGTAAGCAGATTGTTAAAGCTTCAAGAGGTAAGCTCTATGTTTAACGAATCTTTTCCTACTTGAGTGCTCCACCATGGTTAGTGGACTATGGTTGGACTTTATGACTGATGATATGATACTTTGTATAGATGCATTCATATAGAGTTATTTGATAACATGATATGACTTGCTCTGATATGATTTCTGTATTGATATATGGTACACTGATGTCTTCTTGGGGCTTCCCTGGGATTGATGTAACACCCCGTTCTAGAACCGGTTTGTTAATATTGCTTTATGATATTAAGCGCAGTTACAATCACATTGGTTCAATTAAAACCCGGGTAAATTTTTTGTTTTCCTTTTTAACAACCCCGAGTTTGAAATAACCAATTGCGTGAACATAACTTTATTACTTTGCGGAATAATCAAAACTAAACTTAACATCATATCATTATTTTGTTCGAGTTCAATACTAAACTCTCTTCGCCTTTTTTTAAATTGGAATTTATATACTTACTTTTATGGTCTCCAATCTCCAATATGTTATAGTATTTTTCATTAGCTACGCGGGGATTCAAACCGCGCTCAAATCGGGGCACCGTAGCCCAAGTTATGAGATTTCTAAGAAAATAGGTGCTGAAATTTCCAGGACCTCCACGCCCATAGCGTGAATCTCACGCTCATAGCGTGAGCAGTCAGAGAGGTTGGCGCTCCTAGCGCCACCGTGGCGCCCTCAGCGCCGTAGTTACTGCCTCTTACTGGAAGCCGGCGCCCTTAGCGCCAGTTTGGCGCCCATAGCGCCACACAGCAGGTCTGGGTGCCGAAAATAGGGCAATTTGACCTACCGATGATGTTTCATCCATAACTTTAGTTATACTTATCCAAATTACACAATCTTGGTCTCTATGGAAAGCTAACAAAAATATTTACAACTTCCATTAAGACACAAGGTTCCAAATCTGTAACATCCCGCTAATTTAGGAAATTATGTAAATTGTAGATAGGAACATAAAGGCTTGTTTAGAACTCGATGTATATATATGCATATTTATTTAGGGTAGACTTATTTTAATCCACGAAATTTGTGTGAATTATAATCTTGAGCAAGTGAGTACTTTGGAAAATTTAAGTACTAGTGAAGAGGATAGGATAAGTTAAATTTTAAATACTTTTAATTACCTTGAATGTAAAAAAAAAACATTGATTATTACCTAGTGATCCCGTGGGAGGATAATTATTGAGACATTATTTAAATTGCAATCGGAGTGTGAAATTGAACTACATGTAGGTGTGGGATGGGTTTAATTTTAATTACATCTCCTAATAAAACACTAGAAGATACTTAGTAATTACATGAAAATTTAGGAGCCAAAGGAAGATAAATTAGACCACATTCATTAGCAATGGGCCACGACCCTAACTTAGAGGGTGGACCCCATTCAGCCTTAAAATTCCCTACACTATCCATTGGTTATTTTAAAAAGGAAATCAACATGCATGAATTATTATTGGTCCATTCTTTAAGTTTGTAGTCTTATTGGCTGAAAGTTTCCACCCCATCCAAATCCATCCTCTAGAGCGCTGATGAGAGGTGCATAGGCTGTGACCTTGGTTAACAATTCAGAATGCCAATTAACAAAAATTGTTCCTTCTCTCTCGGCACATCCTATTGGCAACATCAATCCAGAAACCGTAAATACATAGATACAGCGATCAAAACATGTCCCAAACACCAACTGAATTCATCTCCCTCTCACCGTCGCTTGAGCTCCACACTGCCCAGTTGCATGTCCATTTTTATTCCCTCCACCAGTGCCACAGTGACCGTGAGTTCATTGAGAAAGGGCAGACCCCAAATCTCTTTACCTTTCTTCCCTGTTTGTCCGTGTTGCAGCAATGGTGGAAGTATTCTGTTCCCTAGCTCGTGATTCACTTTCACTCCTCACGATTTGATGGAGGCCCCTTCTTGCAAGCAGATTGCAACATCTGCTTACTACCCTTCCTCCTTGTTGGTCGAGCAGCAACCTCTTAGAAGGTGAGTTAATTTCTGGGGGTGTCTTGCTGCTCACAACTCTGAACTCACTTAAGTTCCTTCTCTTTGCATGTGTGTGTCTCTGCCCTGATTGAATCTTCTCTTCCCCTTTTCATGCAACTGGATTCGGACTATTGGAAATTAGGAGAACGTAAAGGGTTGTTCCTTGGTTCAATCTAGAACCCTGGATGTATAGGCGAGAACAGGTACCTTCAAGCGCCAACCTACCTCTTTATTCACTGAATCATGCGTATGCTGTATTTAGGCTGGTGTAGTGTCGGTTTTGTACGCCATTAATTCTCACTTTATTTGGCCTGTGTAACGGTTTTAGGGAGTTAAATTCTGTCATTTAATGTACTTGCTGCAGCCGTATAACCATGTGTAATGTAGCCTGCTTACAGAATTAATTAATTGTGGGGAACTTGAAAATAACTCACATAGGTGGTGGTATCTAGTTTTAATTGAATTCGAGTAATTGGAGAACTTGTCGTAGATTTTTTTTTTCTAGCGCATTATAAGCTGTAAGGTTAAAAAGGTGAATAAAAATCCTTGACCCATTAACAAAAGGAACCGATTCTACGAGGGGTTGGAAACCTAGGATGTTGTCATGGTTGACTAGATGATAATACCTATTGGAAGTCAGGAAAAATTAGAAGAATGTATATATAATATTAATAACTCTTGTAAATTGGGGGCTGTTTCATTAAGTTTAGTCATTGGTCTAGCTTTGCATCTGATGAAAATATTATATAGGGGGTATGCTGTGTGCACCATTGGCACCATCTAAACTTAGTATACATGGAAATGTAAAGGACAGCATTCTTAGACCTCTTGAAGCACACTATACATAGGTTAGTTAAGTTTTAGAATGAATCATCCTTGATGTTTTGATTGAATAAAACCTATTCTGTCTTGGTAATATTTGATATGAACTTGGTTCTACTTAAATTAAAATTACAGCCTGATAAATAGGTTCTTCCTTGCGCACACCATGAGTAGGGAAGCAGGAAATGGATGAATAAAGTCTTGAATAATTTTGTGTCCAAAACCGATTCTGTTTTGAGTAAGATCTTGGGTTTTATTCATGGTTAATCATTGGTGAAAATTAAATTGAAGGCAGAATGCTATTAGGAAAGAAACCTTGATAGGAACCAATTGGATGTTTGTGCTATTTAAAGTTTATAAACTTAGGTGTAATCAGGAACTTTAAAC